TTTATATTTCTATTTTATAGCTTATTTTTTATTGGAGACGTAGTAGAATTCCGTGCAACCGCAATGATTTTACTTTGAAATTTCCGTTTTATATGCTTTTGGTTATGTCACGTAGATATTGCATCGTTATTCAAATCCTGTCACTAATGCCAAAGAAGATGAGAGCGACTATTTGTTGACAATTACAAATATATATCTCTGTGAATATTTGCATTTCTCTTATTTAATATTGCCAGGTTTTGGATAAATAATTTATTTTTTATGAAAATCCTTTCGAGGTAGAAATTAGTTTAAAGATCAAACTTAAATGATAAGTGATTTTTAAAGTACTTAGAAAGTAAAATTTTATAAGTGGAAGAAATACGTATTATTTAATACGTATGTATAGATATCAATAAGATGAATCGATTTTGCGGATCTAAGAAGATCAAAACAAATTCATCTAGTGAAATACGCAAATAACAATGGGCTGGGTATCAAAAGCTACACAACCGTTGAGTGAAACTTATTATACCTGTGGAATACCTTTTGCACCTTTTACTTAGCTATCAGCCGTTTTATCTTTTGGCAAACTCATCGCGTCCTTTATTTGTCAAAGTTTTCTCATTACTGACGACGTTTCTCATATTGTGAAAAATACGTCTTTAACTTCATCCGACCATTTTCAGCAATATGCTAAACAGTGATCTCAATGGACGGAAACAGTGTGTGTGTGGTTTGCAAGAGACTAAGACTAAGGGAAGATGTAGGGGTTAGGTTGAACTTAACTATCAAACTTGATTATCAAGCAGGAAAATGAAAAATGTAGTCGATATCGGACTAAATTTACTATCTTTTGTTTTGGGCAACACACACTAATTAATTATCACTCATAGTCTATTAGTGTTGTATTTTATTTTGTAAACAAAACAAAAACCTAATACAGTAATTTTTGGTTTAGTATCGACTAAATTTTTCATTGTTCTACTCGATGAACACATTTTGACAGTTGAGACCATAATGAATATGATAATCAACAAAATGGTGAACATGGTTTAATATTTTAGTACAGAATAACCGCTTTATCTGAAGGTCGCAGTTGTTTATTAAATATTCTTATCGTTGAATATTCGGCACTTTCCTTATTCATATACTACATTGGTCATTAAATATTTATCAAGCTTGCAAGTTTAATATAACTCACCCTTATGTGTCGTGAATTGGCTCTTTATATAATGTATACATTTGGTTTTAGTTGGAAATTTACATGTTTGAATAGGGTAATTTTATGAAAGCTCATCTTCACAATACATATTAAATGTAAATAACTGTGTTTTAATGTTGCTAGTTTGAACCGTTAAGATCAAACAAAAAGACACCGACGCACACAAGACATGGCCACATTTACTGGCGGTTCCGGTCCGTCGAGGCAAAGATCGCTGAAGGACCGACTTCGTGAAGGAATAACTGGCAGCTTTAACTGGCAGTAAGTGATGCATTTGTACATAAAAAACATTTAGAACCTTTCGGCGCGTCTACGGGTCGAGGTATTTCATCAGTTCTAGGTGAGTGAACAACGGTACACAGAACGAGGGTGTCCGGACATCCTGTACAGTTGCATAGATAGTAAAAGACTTGGGCTGATTATAGTAAGCTTCCGCCCGTTGCATGGAAATACTACGAGTGAGGTGGAAAAAATAAATTATTTCGTAACAGATTGTTTTCTTCTACTACGAAAAGGAAGTGGAAACTATAAATCATGCAAGAAATTTGTTGTTTTTATTCGAACTCTCAAAGAAAATCGCCACCGCGAATCGACACACGCACACCCACATACCGACTCTGCGTGACACGTGATTTTTATTTATGACTTTTAGATATATTCTCAACGCTTTTGAAAAAAATACGTTATTATCTTACTTTTAAGTCTACATCTACTCGAAGTAGATAAGTGTATTACTTGATTAGTCGATTTATAGATTTTTATTTTTTTTAAATGTAGTATTGCATTCATTTAGTGTGCTGCCTTAATTCAGTTAATCGCTTTATTATTATTATTATATTTTCGCATACATTTTTTGATCTCATGCACAAAAACTCAAATTACGTGACGTTAAAATGACTACAAATATCAACTTCCTATACGGGATCGGGTTAAACATTTTTAAGCCGCGGTTTGGTATCAATCTGAAATAATTATTCATATTTTGCTTTTTTTTGGTTACAAATCATGCTTATTTAGTATGCGGTGCATGATTTTCAATTTTTGTAGAACATTTTTAGAAAAGTACATGGCAACAACAATTTTTATTTTAAAAAAAAGTACAAACGTCATTCTCTCTAGTGAAAATATTTTATGAAATTATAAACTCAACGAATTTTATTTAAATAAATATCTAGTTTATCAAACAAAATACATAAATATTGAGCAGATCAAAGAATGTCGGGACATTATGGTTCAAAAGCAAATACCTCTATTATTAAATACAGTCTTCCAATAATTGAAGGCTTTCTGATCCAATATAGATTATTTGAGATTTATGTAAATACGAGTTCATATATCTGAAATTTAAAAAATTTTGAAGATATATTTATTGCAGGATCAAGTACGAAAATATATTAAAATACCAATTTCACTTCTTAATATTTTTGCTATTTCTTGTACTGGCAAATAAAAAAAAACTATTGAAGTGGTTTTGAAATGAAGAAATATATTTGCAAAACTAATAATTTGAATTTATTATATACTTATATATTTACGACAAAAATGCCAACACATTTACAACTTATATTGTAATGACTTTTTTTCTGTATTTAAAATAAAATTGCAGATCTATGTTTTTTTTTTTTTTAATTTTTAATATTTTTATTAAACATTTTAGTTTTGGTTATTTCGACTTGAAAAAGTAAATTTTATCTTACTTCTACATACATTTTTTAAGTATTGTGCGTAGGTATTATTTTTTGTATAAGATTCTAAATCAAGATTGACTATTAAGACCCATAGACCCACACAGACACAAACTTGTTTACTTGTTGACTCCTTGGGTAATGTGATCGTGGCAGTAAAAAAACCGCTGGGGACAATTTTAGTTCCTTCTGTCAGTATATAGTGCACATTGACCGGAGAGATAATAACGCTGGCAAGTTCGTTCAACAAATCCCAACTCGTATCGGCCGTACAATTCTCACAATGTAATATTATATATTTGTCCCTACAAACGCGACACCACATTGTGAGCTTGAGAATGACTGTAATAAAATTTTATTATCAATCGAAATGTCACCGAAAGGTCACAAAGCGAAACGTTTCTTTTTGTCCACAATCGCCTTTCAGTGTATTCGCATTGAAATTTTACACGCACATTGTGTTTTTGGTGAATTTTGTTTGATGCGATGACCATATAAATATCGGTTCACATTTATTAGTTTTTATTAAATCTCGTTGAAAAGTGTCAAATTCACCAGAAAGAGAATGTTTTTAACACGGTATGAATTGTTTAAATGCTTTTGAATCGCCAAAAGATTGATGATTGTCTAAAAAATAAATATGTCAATGGTTTTATCAGTTTTCTTATGATAATATTTGTATTAGTATTCAAGTCAAGTCGTTAAATTTAATTAACGTCATTTAAAGACTTTTTATCTAAGCGTACCATAACAAAATAAAAAAAAAAACATTAACACCGAGTTGAAAACAACTTATGCAATTTTAAATGCCATTTATTCCTTCTTGACTATGAATAATTTTGTTTTTAGTGTTGTGTAATAATAAAAATTTTGCTTTGGGATCGCAATTTAAATAAATATTTGCTTTGATATTTTGTCAGTTTTTGGCGTATTGTGGTAAAGAAAAGATATAATTGTATATAGTCCGTGCGCAGTATAACGTGATGGCAACTCGTACACAAATAACTGTATACTTTTCAAACCGTTATTATTTAATATATCACAATATATACGCAGTATACTTTTGATTTATGTTTTTTTTTTCATTTATTTAACATCAAACAAAAAAAGAACGATTTGTTTTTTTAATATTATCATTTAATAAGCAGAATGCAACACACCGTAATTTCACATCTTATTATTTGAAATCCATAAAAGTTTAATAATATCAATTTCCTTCTGTCTTTCGACAATATTTACTTGTTCAACTTTATCTGTAAATAGACTAGTAGTAAGAAAGAAGCTTTACTAGTCTTCGATAACTGATGAAAATACACTTTTATCGTCTATTGAATTTAGTAGGAAAAATATTTCGCACTCGTAAAATATTTATGAAAATTTATAAAAAAAAATAATTACATTATTATTGATTCGACCCCCGAAAACTTTCATTTATTTTAAAACAGTTCCGTTGAATAACTCGGTAAAGTTGCATAGAAAATATCAAGCCATATAAAAACATCCTTAGGTTATTTAAAAAGTTTTTCTTGTATAAACTTACAAAACATTATTTTTTTTCTAAAGACAACAAAATTGTTTAGGCTATTGATTTTATAATAAAAAATGATTTTTTTTTTGCGACAAAAAAATTTATAAAAAATTTTTTAATGTAGTCGTAGCTTATTACCTTCTTTCAATTATTTTTTGGGACTAGTTCGAAATATTATTAAAGGCCAACCATTGCTATCAAATGGTCAACTTGGCGCGGATCAGTTAAGTTGCTTTTACAAAGTACATTATTTAATTATTATCAAGAATTGTTTCGTCTTTCTAAATAAACATTTTACTAGTGCTGTAGATTAATAAGGCTAAAATAATAATAAATATGTAACTGCCTTAAGTTTAACCACCGCTCCGAGTTGGTCCATTTAACGGTATTAAAAAATACATTCTAATTAAAAAAATATTAAGGTATATCATTGAGTTCAATACTGTTAAATATGTAATAAGTATCCTATATTTGTTTAAGCTGAAAGAATTAAATTTCTTTTATTTAAGCGTTCCTCGGGTGTAGCCTAAATGTTTAAATCCAATAAATTAAATTTTTTTTTTATTTATCTGTATATATTTTTTTTTGTAAAATTTATTACAATACTTATACTTTTAGTAAGAACATTTGAATATATGTCAGTATTCGAATGAATTAATGCAACACCAAATTTAAAACATAATTTAATTCTAATAGAAATTTATTTTCGTAACAACAATATTCAATATCACAACGAATGTTTCGTTTTTTTTGCTTTGTAGAAGTTTTATTCATATAAAGTGCATTTGATACCCACGGACTTTTTATATTTTGCAAGCTTCATGCCTTAGTATGGTGTTCTTGAATAAAATATTTTGTTCTGTGAATTATGACTGACCTATCATGCTCTACTGAAACATCAAAACAAAAAACTCACTATTTTTCTATCCCTATGAAATTACCCTAAAAATCATAACCAATATGGTTAGCTACAAAAAAAATACACTAAGAAAATAGTGCACATTATTTACAGTACGTTACAAATTGTAGAAATTTCTCATCTTGAAACAATAGGTAAAATGAAAGAAAAAAATTACATTGTTGTAGTTATCTAATTTCCACTGTATAAGCATGTACTATGGTAAAATATTGCACCCGTAACTTCCACCCTGACACGATAGTTGTTAGAAAATACTGCGATGATAAAATACAAAATATATTGATTGATGTGTCGACACTATAATAAGCGTACCGGATACCAAGTCGTTAGATTGTGTTTGTGCAATTATTGTTATTAACTGATGAGGTATATAACAAAAAAAACCTTGTCACTATCCATATAGTAATATATAAATATAAATTAAGTACCGCTTATTAGCGATTACGTTTAATTAACTACAATGATTGAAGCTACAACATTTTTTTACCTGTATGATATCCTACCAAAGGTCTTCAAGTTTGGCGACAAACAACCATATTTGTAACATTCACGTCGGACTTTGTCTGAAGGTTATGCGCTACTATTGTACATGCATTTGTTTGTGTACGGGATCAGATTCACATTTACCGGAGATAGATTACAATCAATTAGGCTTGAATTAGTCGAGCAAACACAGACAATCGGACTTGACAGAAATAGTGCGTACTTATGGGATTTCACACAAAGCTCCATATCGTCTCATTATTGGAAAACACTAAATACAAACGTGAGTATTTTGCATTTTAGTTAAAACTAACATTAATTTGTTTTTGGTAACAGTTGTTAACTTTTGGTTGAAACTAATTGGGTACTAAAACAAAAACAATCCAATATAACACTTTTTTCATTGTCGTGCGTAATTATCACCTCAACTAATAAATGTATTCTATAATTTTGATGAATCGTATGCAAATCGTAACGAGTATAGCGTTTCTTAAGTCCTATAGTCCCATATGAGGACTCTATCGATTTACAGCATTTTTAAATGAGTAATTTACAACATTAATATATTATGAGATTTTGTTTATGTGACCCTTCTGAAAAATACACGGTTTATAATTTCTCGGAAATTGAAAATGTACTTAAAATAATAACACCGTAAAATGACAAGCAAAACATTTAATATTCTTTAAGTATTCAGTGTAAATAGCAGTAAGGATAATAGATCTTGAGCTTGAATGGGCACGAATACGTTTCTCAGACAGTGAAGTCAAATTTTCGCTCGAGGATTACATGTAGCTTGTAAAGGATTAACTGGCGATTGTAATCGCACAAAAAACAGCGTTTTACTCGTCTACAGATTGTAATTCGAACGGGATATAGACAGGCAATGATGCTCGGTAAACAACCGTGTCGTCGGATTTCCACTTTGCGCATCCTTAATTGGCACTTGACGAATTTTCTTGAGTTATTGAAGGTGAAATCGCTAGCTGTTGACTTTTGGTCCCCTTCTATTTCGTCTTATACGCATTTCGAATGTAAACTGAGACTTTTCGCTTTATGCTTAAACTTCCAATATTTTCAGCGACCATTTCTAGTTGAAAAATCTACCAAAAAAATAATTTATCAATAAAATGTTCAAAAAATACCACGAACTAAAATAAAACCTGTCTGTTTGTTTAGAGTACCGAATTTTACTCGAATATCGCCATATCACAATTGGTGCGTTTTTAAAGTTGACACTAATGTATTATCTACCAACAAATATGTAAATAAGACTGATGTGAGCTTTTAAGTTATGACTATAGTTAATGTACTGTCTTGTTGACGTTTTATCTACCATGTGATCACTTAGAAAGCAGTAGTATATAACACACACACACGCATCTTTTAATGATTATATGCTTGCTAGGTATAATAATAGATAAAAATTTAAAGATAAACTATGTTAATTATCCTGAATACCACGACTATGAACTCGCTAAGCCATTAAGATCTAAAACCACTACTTTCATTTAAAGTACTTTTTCGTTGAGTTTAAGTAGATTCGTACTCAAGTACAAGTATGTATTCGATAGTAATTTAATGGACAATATTTTTTAAATAGTATAACTTGATAACGATTTAATGCAGTATTTTTTTTATCGAAAAGACTATTTTGATTTTGACGCAAAAAAAACTATTATTTAAATAAACAATATTAATTGAAAAGTATAGCTGTTAAAAGTTGGCTTATAAGCTAAAATATTATATTTGGCGAATTCAATTAGTTTTATTCCAAGAAAAATGTACATGAAATGTTTTAATTTTTGGTTGGATTGTTCCATTAGTTGTTAAGAATTACTGTGAGTTAATTATAAGCCAAGTAATGCTTAAACGTTGCAGGATCAATGTTTCATAGTGTTTTACATTCTTCTATGCTGTAGTCGACAACACACAAAGTTTCCACTATATGTGTACACTATATACATTATACATATCAAATGAAGTTTAAGTAACTTAGCATAAGTTAGTGAATTTTCCAATTTTCTCGTCGCATTGTTTAAAGAAAATAATTTTTTGTTAAAATTATTTATTCTAAAATTTCATTGAAAACCCCATTTAATAAAAGTTTCTGTTTTTAGAATTTTTCAGTCGCGTTTCTCGAATGTTGTATTATATTCTGTAATAATGAAAAAGTTATAGACTGCACAAAGACAAAATTACTTAGTAGTTTTAATAATAATACATATTACCTAGTATATACTATGTAAATATAGGTGGTTTACCACGCAATTTATTCGTTAAATTTCTAAAGTTTTTGAGCTGACAAAGAATAAAAGTCCCACGTTACCGTTTACTATAGATACGTGATCACCATAGGAAACTCCCTAGTCACTATATGATACATTATTACCACTTATCTAGAAGCTCTCAATAATACATACAATGCCCCTTGCCGATTTTTTAACATTTCTATTCTCGCTTGTTGTACACTTTATGGATTTTTTTATCTCATCTATTTCTATGATATAAATGATCTGTCACCTAGGTATAACCGTTTTGTTTCCCAAAGATACAATCTGCTTTTGAAGAATGGGGTTGCCTGTAGTGTTTGTGAAACTTAAAAAGACTGCACTACATTATAGAAGGGTTACTCAATGAAATGGGCGAATCTAATGGTTTGGCATTAATAGAGATAAAAACACCGTATCGTCTTCATTTTTAAATCTACACCACCAACTAATATGTGATAACAAAACAAATGGCCATCATTAACACACAATTGACAATACGTTTGATATTCTGGTAAATATTTATTTTTTCGTCAAGCTGTAATCATTATGTGCGCACATAATAAATTTTTCTTTTATAAATATCGCTACTGTATCAACTTTATTTGCAAAGAATATTTGCTATAATAAAAGTGCCGTTATTAAATATTTTGAAATTTCTTACGAATAACAAAAGGCTTAAAAAAAGTTTTTACACTATATTGCTTATTACTTTCTTTTAATTATTTTATTTTTATAAAGTTCATAATCAGCTCGTTTTCATGGCATCAAAGATGCGCCTCCAATTCTCAGTAATTTATTAAAATGTTTTTATACATAATATTATTACCATTCATTTTGCATCAGCGTTAAAACAAATACGTTCTAAATCATTCTATCTCGCCTTAAAAAGCATTTAAAAATTAATGGATATTTTATAATCTATTTATGATTTTAGGTGTTCGACTCGAATATAACTCTGATTACATCCATTGTTTTTCACAATAATATCCACTGACTAATAATATAATAGTGTAGTGTATATTTTTAATTATGAAAAATGAAGGTTATCAAAGAAAGATGAATTAAATATATATATATGGTTTTATTTAAATTAAAACAGTGCATGTTACCTTGAAAGAATATCTATAAGTGCTGCGAACTACGTTATATGAAATAACATTATGAATATAATAACAATGATGAATACATAAAAATTACTGCCAATAAACAAGTCGATTATCTAGATAAATAATAGAACTTTTAAACATTGGAAAATGTACATGCTTTTAAGTGTGTAATAAGAGTAAGTTTTCAATGAGGTATTTTCTCATTTAATCTCTTTTTCGGAAAACTTGATGTTATATGTAATAATACGACCTAATAGCTGCCATTAGTCCATATAACACTAAGCTGCATTGCTATTGTTACATTTTATTTTACTGAATGACGGCGTTTTGACATCCACGTAGAATACATTGTAATGATTTCCTTACTGATGAATACACTTTTAGTTTTAAGTTGTTGAAATTTTGTTTACATACCTATCCGCAAATTATTAAAAGACATGTTGGTTAAATATTATGAGAGAAGGACAAATTCTAGGGAGTCACATTAGTAACTTTAAAGGTACCCCTTAAAAGCTTTTTAACAACATGGTATTTTTATCGTTCAGAAAAATGTAGAATTTTGCTTCAGAAATTTCCATCGACATAATCCAAACAATTGTAAAACTGTCGCTATGCATTACTTTAAGATCGCTTACGTCGCCTTAACTACTATGTTGTGATTCGCGTTTAGACGTCAAGCTGAATCGCAACACGACATCAACAAATATTAAGTCTAATTTCAGACACGGAAAAAAGTAGGGCGTGAGAGCAATGCACCCCAAAATTATAAGAAAAAACGCTAACCTATAATAACTCTTGTTAATCTAACTCAAGTGTTAAACTTTAACATTTGGAGTAGAAAAATCAAGAGATAAAAACCCAAGAGCTTTTTAAGTATCAGCTTTTGTATTTTTAACTGCTTAATTTCTACATAACTTATTTGAAACTTTATTTATCTTAATGAACAAAGGCTATTCAAATGTTCTATTTGTTAATTGTAATCAATTACATTTTCTTGAAATAAATATTTTGTAAAATCCTATCTCTCACGTGAGAGTAATCAACATTGAAAAAATATAATATCAAATGTCATCAGTGCTATTCGATTTACACATATTGTGTAATTTAACACGATACAAAAACATAGTTGAATTTATGTTTACCTTATAATATTATTATGTATCATATTTCAACAACGGTTTAAAATAATAATTAATTACTGCTATTTCACATGATTTATTCAACAAGTCATACATAACAAATTAATATGTACACATTGGTTTCTATTAAACACATTTATTATTGTATTGTGAGATGTTGACTAGGTTTTTGTACTTACTAATTTTCAATTACTGTGTACTATATAGCTTACAGATATTTTTTAACCATAATAAAATTATGTTGATTATTTACTTCAATATACAAGTTTTAATTTATTTAAAACGCAATAGAAACTACTGTTCAATCCCTAAATCGCTGCGATAATCAGGCCGTATAACATTAAATGGGTGATAAATACTAATAAAAAACCTAATTGTAGAGCACTCAACTCAACGGGCAGTTGGACGAGTCCCAGCGGCGTTGAATAATTTTCGCTTTCTACTGGAACGCCGATTTTCACACTAAAAACGTGGTTAAAGCGGATAATATAATTTATGGGTTTTGTATATTTTTTTCGCCTCAAGGTCATATTTCTATTATTGTATATCAATACACGTATTTTAGCAATACAGAGCTCATATTTACACGTACGTCAAATTCGTAAACACAATTCGTAACGTGATCCTTAAACGTGTTGATATCTACCGGATACACGATCCGTGTAATTCATTTTATTGTAATCTAATACATAACATCTCCATAAAGTTTAACTGGTTGGCCATACGATAGAACTCGATTTGAAGTCATTCGAGGAATTGATGAAAAAATTTACTCAATTGTATTTAATTTCCAAGGTATTTTATAGAATTTTTATACTTCGCTAATCATAATATAATTTGAAATGTTAATTCGCATTTACCAATACTTTTTGCGCAATAGTATCTTCTAAGAGAATGAAATTCAAGTTGATGTTTAATTTTATTAAAAAACGTAAGTAATTGGGGAAAATGCGTGTTACGTATGGTAAAATAAGTATGTTTTCAATTACTTTCATTGATTTATATTTAAAGAAGCGTCTGGTAGAGTAAATAAAACTGTCAAATGTTTATTGTTTCTTCAGTGACTTACGATCTCAATTGTACGGATGCGTCGCAACTTTCACTTAAATTAACGTTGGTTTTTCGACATTGATTTGTTGGTTTACATTTATTTGTGTGCGTTTTTTATTTTGTGAGCACGTCTAGTACGAGACACCGTAATTATTATTGTTTTTATGACAGTGTAATTCATTCAGGTTTTGGGCCCATGGCACGTGTCTGGCAACCACCGAGTGCGGCGATCGAGTGGTCGTCAGGTCGGTCGGCTCTCTCATCTATACAGTCGAGGTGGCGGCGATGACTTCGAACCGGTCGCAGCTACACGACTGCCGCGGTGGTATCCGATAAACGGACAGTAGTCGCAGTCGGTCCGTTCGCCACGCGCGTTCTCTCGTTATACAAAAAATACCGCGAGTTTGTTTGTAAACCAAATTAAGTGCCGAATGAGTTCGCGATTGTGTGTTTATTGAATTTATCAAAGTGACAAATATTGGATTTAATACATTGTTATCACAAGTTGTGAAACACGTAGTTGCGTTCATTGTGAAAACGGAACTTATAAATATATTTTTCTTCGTTTATCGCCAAAAATATATATATATATAATGAAGTTATAGAATAATTATTTTCGAGGTAGGTCTTTAAATATTATTTTTAACTGAAATTTGTTTTATTAAAAAAAAAAAAAATGGTGCGATTAATAAATGTTCTTGTGTTTAATGTGTTGGGCTGTAAACTGCGTGGAAGCCATATTGACTTGTAAAAAGTACTATTTCGCTGTACCGAGTATGAATTAGTAATTTTTTTTTTTTTGTTTTTATATTGTTGTCGTTGAACTCTCTGTTGTGGCAGTGGCGTAGGTGATACTATCGGCAGTGTCGTCACAGTTAGTAATGGTAGTCATTACAAAAGTAATAATCACAAGACTACATAGATGAAATAGATAAATTTTCTAGAGGATAAGCCGGTTTATATCCAAGTACTAAGTCTTAATATTTTGTTTGTAATCAGTGGAAAATACCGGCTGAAATCTATTATGTGTAATAATATCAATGAAAACAAAGTTTTTACACAAAAATGTAGTCGGGGTAAGATAATACAGTGAATCGTACCAACTTTATTAATAAAATCGTTTTGATTTTACTAAAACCTTTTTATTTTTGATTGAATTTTTTTTCCTTGAACGTTTTTAAATAGTTAACAACGTTATCCTATAATTGATTTTAACGTTATTCATCATTTAAACGTTGTACATTTTTTTGTTTAAAATGTGATAATGTCATTCAAATTTTTCATTTGACGTAATAGCGTTACTACGTTTTACATTAAAAGGTTTCGAAACATAATTCACTATCACGACCAGTTTAAAAAAGAGCGAGTGACTAATTTTTTTTACATAGGATTTTTTAAATACAACGTTTGAAAAAAAAATTATTTTTGTTTTACCAGTAATAGAATTTCTAACGATATTTTATGTTTTTTTAATTACATTTTTCGTCTTAAACGTCATAATTATCACGTTATGAATAACGTTTACCTTTTCTGACCAAAATTGTTTTTCCCTGCCCATTTTTGCGTTAAGTATACGCGACGAATCTCATGCATTTATATCTACACACGCACACATGGTATACGTGCCACTGAAGGGAAAGTATATGGAAGTGGTCGGACTGTGCAACTGAACGATTTCGAAACTAAAAAAATGTATTTCTGTGATAATGGTCGAAACTAGTTCGTATCTGCTGCTGCTATCCACTCGATTTCGGTTTTGGATACTAAAGCGAATATTTATTTTTTAAGATTGCACCAATTGTATTCGCGATAACCACTCTACGTTAAAATAAGTGGTCGGAAAATCTCCAAACGAATTAGCTTTTCAAATACGAATATTCATCGCATGCAAAAATATTTGAACAGAATATTGATTTGACACGTTTTCGACCAATAATAGTATAATAATAGAATTTTATATTATTATTATATTTACACACTTTATTGATAGTATAATCGTGTTCACGGAGTATTTTCTTTATATCGACAAACGCATTTTTTTAAGAATGTTTTTCTTACTTACGCGTGAACAGAAAGAGTGCAAACAGAAAGAATAACGTATAATATTTGCATTTTTGACAAGACGTGCGAGTGTAGTTGTACTAATTATCTTTTATTGTATTACTTGGTCGCGAAGATATGCGACTGTTTCAAGGTCGAGCTTTCACTTGTCTTCTGCCGGACACGATGCTTTCGTTTGGTATAATTGGTCGGAGAAGAAGAAATTTAACGCGCTAACGTTACCCGTTATGAAATTCGGTTTTGCAACAGCCATTTAAAATTTATCGTGATCATTCCATCGGTCTGAAACATAATGAAATTATGAGAATTGATTACACGTCAGCACGATACTTAAATTAATAACAATAACAATTTTATAACGTTAATTACACGTTGCTCATTGATCAGCCGGCACATTATTCAAATGACTCAACGATGGAGAAATCCGGATGTGATTCCCTCGACTTCACGCAGCGTTTAGTGTTACCCATTACTTTTAGGTAATGGCTGAACGTCTTGGAACAGACTCATCGCGATCCGTTAGTTTTGATTTTACGTCCAAGTTCAAACGGTCGATTATATTCAGTTTTACACTTATTCCGAAAATTCGGCGTACGAACGATTTATTCTATTTTTTATTAGCAGCACTCTCTGAGAATACCAACCGATCCGTTATGGGATTTTCGTTTCTACGCATACTGTTACTTAAAATCTCTACGAATTTATGATGAAATCATCCAACACACGATATGAAAACTATCCGTTGTAATATATATTATCGTAGTTTATTTGCACGCAAAAAAATATGTCATTGGCAATGATCTTTGGTGACCACGGTCGTTCTGATAATGCAATAGCCTAAGATTATTATCGTTGGAAATACTTTCAGTAAATATGCCAAATCGATATTTTCATAGAGGTTATCAAAAAACAAAGATAACTGTAATTTGTTACATTTTTATATTTTTTTAGTTATCTGTCTGATAAAATAGAGATAAAAATAAACCAAGTAAAAGTATTGGATTTTTCTCGAATTCTTTTTGTTTAACTTTCTGCAATGTTTAATTTTCCTATCGTTAACACGTGACACACAAAATGGAAAAGTTTTTTTAATTAAACATTTTTAATTACATTGTGTTACGATAATCTATTAATCCGCCGCTACTTGGCACATTTCAATATTAATTAAGTTTCGCCTATATCTGTGCGAACAAATACATCGGTTGTCTATATGACCTCTACAATTGAAAAAACGTTACCATAATAATTTATAGAAATTAGTAATTTAATACAAATTGAATATATTACCAGCAGATGTAATAATACCGAGAAAGTGTGTCGAAATCTAACGTGGTGTATTTTTTTTTATCGGCTCACAAAATATATTATGAGTATATGATAGTACAGTAATACTAATGATATGTATTTACCGGGTGAACGTTATACTTGAATACAAATGATTTTTTACGCGCAAGAATTTGCACGGTTACCTAAATTGGAAAATCTTGATAAATTATTTATCACGAGTCATTTAAGTCCAAACGTAGAATACTTATTTGGAAAAAGTATTGTCAAGTTTATTGTGATAATATCTCAGATGAAATAATATTCTAAAAATTTATTTAGTACACGGACAACATAAATAATTATTTCTGGTATGATATTTATATTTATAAAATCGATTCTAGCAATTTATTTTTTTACTGTCGCAGTCAATACATTTTTCATGTATTTTATGAATAGACTCTGAGTTCTGTTTATTCAGGTTTAATTAATAAATTATAATTTATAATTGGTTGGAACCAATCAAACGCGTACAATATAACAATTATAGTAAAATCGGAATATTTTCTTGTCGTTTTATTCTTATTGTTGAGTTGCTTCTCGTGTTTTAAATAATCTTAGTGTTTTTAATTAAAACTGCTAAGCCAAGTTTAAGTTTATAAAAGAGAAATAAATGTTAACTTATTTGACGGTTTAGTAACCACGAGTATTTTGTTTTTTAGTTGGCTTAGAAATTTTTATTTTTTTGCTTAATTTTAATGAAAAATAATTTCCGTTTAAGATTTTATATCACTAAGACTTCATGACAGTAAAATGAATACCGCCTAATTTGTAGTAGACTGAAATTCCTTATAGAATCTTATTGTACTATCCTTGAGTTATATCCTGTGGTACTTGTCATGCTTAACAAAATCGTAATGTGGGCCGTCAAGGTGACTCGATTTTAAAAATATAATACGTTAATTTTATTAAGGAAGAGATAAAGGCTTAAAATATAATGATGTTATCGCGATACGCCTTTTCCTATATAATGTGTACAAGAACTAAACTCATTAATTGTAATGATACCAGTTTAGATGTGATAAAATGTAGGTACAACATAGTTTAAAATTTATGTAAATGTATTTTTATTATTAGCTGACTTATGTTAAAAACAGGCACATAAATCTTTGATCGATTCATTTTTCCGCATTAATATTATCTAAGGTAAATTAATGAGTAGCGTGTAACTAGATTGATATCAAGACAACACTTTATGCAGCTTTTTATATACTCTAATTGTTATCATTTTAATTGAAGTATTGCAGTTTGTGTACATATTTTTTATAATTCATACAATTTCCGTTGTTTTCGCAAAATTGTCAATTTTTTTTTCGATATAAAACCAATTGATTGGGGCGTGAACACATAACGGCAATGGAAAAAAAAATTATCGAGAAAAAAAGATTCCATATATTATTATATTATATAATAACGTTGTACAGCGCGAATGACCTATTTCAATGGGTTTTTATTCCCGTGGGACGCTCTAAACTCGAGTCTTCCTGTCAGTTTGGATTCATGTCGTTGGCGTTTCGACGGTTGGAAAATATAAAATATCTCAAGTTTTTTCGTACAATAATGTAACACCAATGACAAAAGTACAATAGAAAGCAAACTGTACAATCAAAAAGTATTTCAAAACTCAATTTATTAAGAAGGATACTTCCACTTGGTTGTACTTGAAACTAATTTTTTTACATCCGATTTCCGTCTATTTAGTGTAAAGGTTAATCACGATAATATTTAGATTGACTACCTCGATTAACGAGTAATTATGATGTGTCAATCTTGAACAAGAGTATTCAAATTTTAATTGCCGAATTATTCGTCATTTGGAATCATTACCATATTGTTCTTATGCTAGTTCGCCATAGGCAACATTATTTCATTTATTAATTTTAAATATATAGCTATAGACATATTAAGGACATTTATTCAATTTATTTATGTACTAAATTAGTTAATTTAAAATATTAGCTATTAATATTTAATTTGTACAGGAAACAATTTTGAAATTTTACAGTTCAGTGAAGATAGACATCTGTTTCAGTTATATCGACGAATGATTCAAAATCATTAGTTTACTTGATCACGCGACACTACCTTAAGTCTTAAGTTTGTTTATGAAGTCATTGTTTTATTTTTATAGTAATGCATAACACACGGGTTAGGTTTTTGTACGGTGACCTTGTATATTTAATATAATTGTTGTTATTGTAATATTTCTTTGATAGTAGTTTTGCAACGACCATAAATACACACAACTTTGAATAGTTTATTACTTCCTCTCTTATTACATGCGATCTTATCGGAATGATTCGAGTTTGACAGTTTTACTGAACTTTATATTTTAATATCGCACAATTTTAAACACTATATTTCCAACGCATTCAAGTAAGCAAAAAAAGAAACAACAATCCAACAACGCAGTGTAACACAATTACAAAAGACCGACACTTCCGCCGGTCCCGTTTGTACCCTTTATATTCATTCCACTGCCCTACTCCGTCCTCTCTTCTTCATCCTAATCTGCCAGTAGGGAAAATGCACAGTTTATCGCCCGTTTCCTAGTGTTTTGTGTGCATGATTCTACATCATGTTTTTTATTAGTCTTTCGACTCGTTAAAAGGCTGCGTTGTTTACGCGTACAAAAACCATACACGAATTTCACGATTTTGCTCTTTGTATCGATCTGACCCGAATAGAATCTACCGGCAAAAGTTCAGTAATTCACTAGTATTTACGTTCATCATTAACTTTATTCATTATCGTCATGCTATTAGTCGATTGTACTTGATAACCCACACCCCGAGAGGCACAAAGAATGCGTTTAAAAAAATTGAAGGTGTCACTGTTTATATAAATAATACTTCGATATTTCTATTAAAGCGCACTAAGTTTTATATTGACAATGAAATTAAATGAACTTTTAATAAAGTTTTTTTAAGTACGTTTGTTTTTGAAAACACGTAATGTTGAGCAATAAATTTCAACAGAAATTATATGTGTTATATTTTATAGGAAATTCTAGTTTTACTAACGATAAAGTTTCTTAAAGTTAAATCAGTGTATCTATTAAAAAAAAAAATGTTAAATACAATATTTCAAGTTGTTCTCCAAAAATACTTATCACAGAATTTATAAAATAAAAGATTTATCTATTTTAAAATGTAATCAGCATTGTAATGAATTGTTTTGATTTTCTATAGAAAAAAAATACGTTCTGTCCGATGGAATAATCTTGACCTGAAAAATATATTCTGTACAGTGGAAAACGACCTCAGAATACATTAAAAACAATATACCAATTTTAGGCATCATACATCATTGATAAACTAATAAAATTGGATAGGTCCTATCGGTTATCTATAGACGCAATAATGGACAAATGCAAAACCTGTATTCGTTCTTTTAAATATTTATCAAAATGATCCAAACTGTTTAAGGTCGTTTTCGTCAAAATGTTTCTGTATGCCCGCAGGTAAAACCAAAACAAATTTAACTTTCTCCCATAGATTTGGTGTGAGATATATTTTAAAAAATGTATTGAATTTCTTCTTACGCACTTCTTTAGTTTTTAAACAATACGCATAAATATAAAAACTATTGATTATAAAAATTACCCGAAGAATTTTTGTCGTGTCGAAGATATTGTCCAGTATTTCATCGATTAATGGTCCTCATAAGTTGGTTTTAGGTCAAGAGGTGTAGTAATCATAAATTCTACTGTACAGTTTAGTACCGTAGTATCCACACATCCCTTTGGCAATATATAGAGAAGCTCTATTTTAGTATGTCGTTTCCGTGTTTACATGCCACCAACACTCGTTGCTCATATATAAATGACGTTCCTGTTTGTTTGCCATAATAACATTTACTCCATGTCATCAACAACCAGTTCGTTTAGTAATTTATTAGTGTACATGTGCTTTGATATAATGTGATAAATGGGTGTTCTTTAGAAGCAATTAGTAAATGTACTTAACCATTTGAATGAGCTTATTCACCTGGCTACTCCATAATTAATAGCAAGTTTCTTACTGAAATTCTCAGCTCCATGACCTGTTGAAATATACGTGGCTGAACACATAATTGTATATTTTCGATGTGTTTAAGTTTATAATAAGGTCAAACATATTATTCTAGAAAAGTTGACATATTTTATCATTATATTTATTTTTAAAACATTTTTGTACCTTTTATAGTAGCAAAATTTGAATAATTAAATTTGGTCTTCGAGTTCATTTTACACAAATTTTCCCATTAAAATTTACATTTCATAAGCCATTTAGCTATACAGGGTGTTCAGTAAATAAGGAAACGAATTTTCATTGTACTCATTGTTTGTAACAATTTAACTGTTTCCTAACTTACTGAACACCCTGTATATATACACCTGTGATTACCAGAAGAAGAAGTTATTTTGTATATCACGTTTCAGGACATTGTTATCCCATATTAAAAAAAATTTCGTGTACCGATTTTATTATATTTATCATTATTTTGTCGCCAGTGAATTAGCTAGAACAATATTAATTCTCTTGCCATTGCGATCACCAAATATTGCTCTTTATCCTTTCAGTGCCCGTCTTATGATAGAGCATTCTGAATGTTGTATTGGCAATAAATCAGTTGCTTGTTTACATACAAGTTCGTCGAAATCGGGTTTCGATAGAGATTCTAATTCTCAAGTGCTTCTGAAATAATGTGATATTCCTGTAGGATTCGTAATAACTACAGTCTACAAACTTGTGAAAATCACTGCGCTGTTGTATAATTTCTCAGTAAACTTTACACAATAGAATTTAATGTTATGTATATTAATAACAAGTTACAAACTTAGCTAAGAATAAAATCGCCGACGATTATGGAGATAGTAAGCACTATAGAAATTAGCTGCGAGCAATTTGCCTTCACAAAAGATTAAAATGTACAACTTCTTTAGTATCTGTTACAGTACTTTTTCCGATCCATCAGTAACTTAGTTTAATATTACTACAACATAGATTGTTATGTAAAATAATAAACTTGAACAAGTTTTTTCAAAAGTTTCGCAAAGTCTACAAAATATAACATTTCCAATATTTTATCCTTGAGCGCACAATTACCAAATTATTCTTTTAATAAGAATAATTACCATTATTTACTGCTATAAATTTTTGTTTTTTACACAGTTTGCAAAAAGTTTAACTTTGAAAGTTATAGAACTAAATTTTATTTTTCTCGACGTCGACTTTTTATAAGTTAGATACAATTAAAAATATGACAAAAATAAAAGTTATGAACTTTCTAATGTTGTCTAAAAATAGCGGTCAACAGGTTTACAAATAAGAACAATAACGTTCTTGTAAAAACTGGAGATAGGCCAAAATGCCAAAAAGGAAAACAAAATGAGCAAGTAAAATTTTTCTTTGCGCCGAAAAATCTAAAAAGTTGTGTAGAAGTTTGAAATGCTGTGTTTGTCAATAAATAAATCGAAGGTCCTTAAAACTTTAAACGATTTTCAAAGTTTTGTTATAGCAGTAATTGAACAGCGTTCGAGTGTTTCAATCAGTACTTCTTTTTTAGATGATTTTGTATAAGATATACTCTGAAATTATAATCATGTTCTATAGATGTCTTACGCAATAAGTCGATGTAAAAATCAACACTATGTCTTTTAAGTAAGCATCTAGAATTCTCAAAGTTATTAGCTCATTAACGTAGTTGATCACTTACTAAATGAATACAGTTTATGTAAACAATTTTAATTATTCGCTAAAATATTATTTATGCAAAATTGTTGTTAAGTGAACGCGAATAAAACCATATAAACTAATTAAAAATATAATTCCGATGAATTGAAATGAGCATAAAAATTAATCATAATATATTTATTACTCATGTTAATTATGTTAATATATTTACATAATAAAGCTTACTTAAATTTCAATAATTGTACTTAGTAAGTCAAATAGACAAATTAATGATTCTTTAACTTTCTAATGGTAAAAGCTACTTAAAAAAAACTGAAAGCCGTATTAATGAATTAAATATATGTCTATGATTGAAATTATTTGAAATTCGATTGAATTTTCAATTAAGATCTTAATTGTAACTGTGATGTATTTTTTGAAATAAGTCTAGTTTGAAGTTGTAAGATTAGTATAACGTATATTTTGGACTTACCAAACTTTTTTTATTAGTTTTTTAAATACATTAAAATAATGAATTTGCTTACTATGACAATAAAAATAGAATAAATAGAATTTGTCATGCAATAATTTAATTTTTTTTATAAATGTGAACAAATACAACTTCAATTAATTATTTTATGTGGTTATTCGTCCTTGATTATAAATTGGAGATCGGGTATTAGTTTTAAACATTTACAATATTTTTTATGTAGTTTCATATATATTTTTTTCATTTCTCTTAAAACTGCCACCGGAAGTCAAAGAATACTGAAAGCAAATGAAAATTTCGATAAAAAATCTAGTAAATTTTTTATTGCTAATTATTAATTTACGACTTAATATTTATAAGAATGTGTTAGGAGGGAAATAATCGTTTTTGTTTGTTGTAATTATGAAGCTAGTAATACTGATTTTTTGATGTTTAAACAAATTTATTTCAAGTTTGTTGACCTTATTTAACTTGCTGAAAGTACATCTTTTGCAATTCCAGTACTTAAATTAAATAGTCAAAACTGGGTACAAATTATAAAAAAAGTATAAAAAATGAGTTTTCTTTCATTATAAATGTGCCTCAATAATGAAAATTGAATTTATTTTGCGAGTAATTGTTTTTTATTTATATGTAACCAATATTTATACACAACGTTGTTGTCGTATTAATTACAGTAGTTGAAAAATATGTTTTTTTTTAATAATCTAGTAATTGAGGGTTGACGACTCAATGACGTGGGTAGCATCTAAACATTGTGCGTAACAAAAACTTCAGTAGTTTTCTCAGAATATTTTTATTTAACCTACTTTTGATAATGTCTTCTGTCTGCGTAATTTGTAGCCAGTAATAATAATAATTCGTAACAATAACAAGGAAGTCCTACCGTTTTCTATAATATATTAAATATTTAATAAAACTGTATTAAAATAATAAAATTTACCATCTGAAAAAATATTTAGACTTTTGTGATGCCAAATAAAAACAAATCACTTCTTTGCTCGAAAACTCTAGTACACTTATAAGAACTTTAATTATGAAATGTGTCTTAAAGGTTTAATATCTGGTAGGAATTTTGATGTATATTAATTGTTACTGCGTATAAATGATTCGTCGAATGTAATGTTTCTGCGAAATAGATCTGTAAGTCACAATACGTGTCCTATGGTTGATTTACTGAGATTTGTTCATTTCATTCGTGTTCATTTATTTGAAAAATTATGACTGTTGACTTAAAAAAAATTCTCGATAACACAGTCCAAGATTGTGACAACTAGTTACAAAAATAAAACTAAGCTTCTCGTTTTTACCCCGCGTGTGCTCATTTTATGACGGTTTTGCTATACGGCAATTCATCAAAAGAAAAAAAAAAGAGACATAAGTAGTTTCCGCGTCGATACGGCTGCCGCCATGTAGCCAGGAACCATTAATCTTGAATCGGACAGAAGTGTGTAATAAGAAAAAACAAAAAAAAAAATTGTGAGCATTTATACAGGCACTGAATAGGTCAAAATGCTTTTTCATGATGACCGTACGTTATTGAGATACTCATCACTTAGGCGTTGCGGAAGTATTCCTTTGAGGTGATTGTTTAAGTCATATCTGAATTTTGTGAATCCCTCCCATGTCGACAGTTTGTCGTAAGGGAAATCAATACTTTTGACATCAGCCAAAATACTGGCCGAAAGTTCCTTCCTTTTGGTTGTCAGAAAAAGATTCTCTAATGGAACTTGAGAAGAAATGACGGTAATAAAAAATATTTGAAAAAATTCGCCCTAATTAAACGGTATAATTAAAGTTTTCGAATTAAATTTCACCTGATATTTTCGACGCGTTTTTGTGGACTAATCGGACGAATGTAACTAATTAGTATTCATATTTTATTTTCTGCAGCGACTTAAGCTCTTCTCGAAAAGCTAAACGAGTTCATAATACCATATTATAAAAGTCTTAGACCGATTATTTGCTTGGCTCAAGGGCCAAAGTTTTTTTTTTATTATTTTGAGTCCCAAACAAAATACTTAGCAATGACACACTCATTGAGACAAAAAAAATATTGTGTCTTTGATCGATTCTTCCAAAACAAACACTACAATTCACATACATATACATTATAAATTATAATGTAAACATTATAACAACTCATTCGCTCGACGCAATGAAGTGCCGTTAAGTAAAATCATTGATGGCCACAGCGCACAAAAGCAAATTTGATTTATTCAATGCACTTAATTGTCTTATGTATGCAGCCCATACTGTGTTTTGACAACTGTGAATATTATTCAGATACAACGCACACAGCGTATAGATGAACCTAAAATTTGATACACTAGTTTAGGTTTGTTTTGGTATGTATTATTGAACTGAAATTGCGCTGTGGCTAGTTAATTAACGATAATTCGCATGTGGTGAAATAGTTTCAAAGAAAAACGAAACTTTGTGTTCGGCGTTTGTATATCTAGTGCTCGTTAAGACGAATAATGACTGCAAGAATCTTATCGTCACGGATAATCATCGAACGCTTAATAATTTATTTGCTTTACATACTAATAGTAATTAACACTAATCTTTCTCGGGGAGGGTTTGGTAATTAACAAAGCGTATTAAATTCTTATATTGATTACCCGTGACTATGAAAAATCAAAATGTCATTGAAAATGCCTGTGCGTTATTTAAGCTAAACGTTTTCGCAGCTTGAACACTTTCATAACAAATAAAATTAGTCTAATACTACCAACCGACAAAATAACGTCAGGACTACTTATCGCACCATTTTAATCATTATGTGTTTTTATTATTATTTAATTTTCATTTTTTTTTAGATCAAAGTGCAGTTTAATTTCATTTTTTCTCGATAATTTTTTAAATTATCCTCCAAATCCGATCAAAAAACTTTTAAGTGCAACAGTTTATTGTCTCAGTGATGTTTATGAAACTGTTTGGATGCGTATACTTCGGGCCGTAGTCCGTTGTGCGTGCAAAGACAGTGGAAAGACATCAGTTTGCTGAATTTTAATTGAATTCCATTGAATTTTTATACTGTACATTGCATTCACAAATCAAAGTATATGGAAGGTCTGTACATATCTTCAGCAACGGCCGCCGAGTCCACAAACAATAATGTGGACGACACGCCAAAAAAGAAGTGGAACGGTAACCTGACCATACTGAAAGAACACGTTGAGGAGTGCACTAAAGACGATGATAGCTATGGTAAACCACCTGTATTACCGTTAGATGATAAGCGTAGGAATCGCAGGAAGTCTTGGCACATAGGACGTTCAGACAAAAAACGAAGAAAAAGTTTTAGTGTCTTGTCGCCTATACCCGATGCCGACCAATGCGGCCTACCGATCAACTTTTACAAAGCTAAACGCCCCAGTTGGTGGAACATCTTCACACCAGATAATTGGCCGCGGTAAATAATTTAATATATAGCAATAATTATCTTATCTTTAAGAAAAAATGCTTTTAAAAATAACTTTTTCCTTATTGTAATTATGTATAAAAATTAGGGATCTCCATAAAAAGTTAATTATATTATTTTTATTCGTTTCATTTTTTTGTGATTTAATATTTGCGACTGTGATTATTTTCCCTTTATAACTTTTCAAAACAAGGTTTAATTTTTGAAAATGAAACTGTCACTTTGTCTTCCATTCATTTAATTCATTTTTTTATTAAAACTCTAAATACTAAACAATACTGTAGACCTCTACTCGCGGAGTGCTTCCTCCATTTAATTCGATTTTCATTTAATGCCGAAAATACAATGCACTTAAATCCAATTACTTACATATACTTTGTTAAATTCACTATTTATATTAGCATAATCTTTTATCATCCCATTTCGATGGCGTTTGTTGTTATTATTTTGATCACTGTCATACGATTTTGTCGTTATGAGCCACTGACTACGGTACAGTACTTATCGATAATAGAGTTTTGTAAAAATAAAATAAAAACATGATGTATACAATGTAACGCCCAATCATTTTTTACAAAAATGATTAGATTTGGGTTTTTTTTAGAAAAATTAGATATGATTAGTCAGATAAATATACAAAATACTCGATTAAACTAATTTATTTTATATTTGATCAATTTATATAATGTTCACACATATTACATTATTATGATGTCACCAAACATTTTCACATTAAAACTCTTATTTTTTAGCTTCGATGCGAAGCTGAGAAGGTATTGGTTTTACTATGATGTGTTTTTTTTTTTTTTTTTTTTTTTTTTTTTTTTTTTTTTTTTTTT